TGCTCCTGGCACGTTAATACTTGAAAGAAAACACCCTTCCTCCCCATGTGGTGGGCCGGGCGTGCGATGTGGCCGCGTGGCTTGGTTGTGTTGGCGCTGACGCACTCAATAAACTGTTACACTGTACCTACTAGGTTCCTCCTGAGGGGTCAGGTACAGCAAGGAGAGCGCCATCCCCCACAGCCCATCTCCATTCGGGGTCACCTGCGTCATCTGTGGGTACTGGTAGTCCTGGGAGAGGCAGGGAAATGTCCTCGAGAAAGAAAAAGGGGCTGCTTTTCAAAGGCAAGAGGCTGCTGAAAAAGCTGGGCGCCGTGAAGTGAGTCAGGAGCTGCGGACCACCTCCGACCTGCGAGTCTCACTCCAAACCAGGGCTCCCATGACTCCAGCGCTCCCCAAACCCCGGCCCCACAGCAGAGACAGCTCTGCTCCTCCACCCACCAGAGCACCTGAGAGGGCCTGGCTGGCGCCTCCCTTGGCTCTGGCTCGGCCTAGGTGGCTCTCACTGCCTCAGGCCAGACGGGAGGCCCCACCCGACGGGCCAGGCCTGGCAGATCCAGCCCACCCGGGACCCGTCTTTGTGCACTTGTCACCCGCCCCTAAAGGAGCAGTCCCCACCCTCCTCGCTCTTCAAATGCTTGCCTCATTCTGCGTAACTCAATTTAACTCTGGTCTGAACTCCTAGCTGAACCGCCCTGATGTTCTGCCTTATTACCGCACAGTGGTTTGTACTGTCTAATAAACTTCCTGTCCATGCGTCTGTGTAGTGCGTCCGTGTCTCCCCCACACACAGACAGGGCTCACACCCAGGTCCAGGCCGAGAGCGGGAAGACCCCCTGCCCTGTGTCTTTCACAGCAGGCGGGCGACACAGACAATGTTTACTTACTTATGTCACTCAGCAGGAGACATAACTGGTCACAGCCCCAGCCACCTGCCAGAAAGCTGACACGGCCCATCCCCATCGCTCTCAGTGTTACTTGTGGCATATGGATTTCTGTTCCTTTCATTCTTTGTTGAAATGCCAGACACAGGCACAGATAGCGACAGCACCCACGAGAGAAAGCCCTCCCACCACGCCCAGCCACAGCACAACACCCGGGTCAGTCTGTCCCNCTTGTTACTTCTGTTCCTTTCATTCTTTGTTGAAATGCCAGACACAGGCACAGATAGCGACAGCACCCACGAGAGAAAGCCCTCCCACCACGCCCAGCCACAGCACAACACCCGTGTCAGTCTGTCCCTTGGCCCTCGAGCAAAAGACATGCAAGTTGCGGGCAGGTGCACTCGATGGTTACTCTTTTCTAATTCCCATCCACTTGGAAGTTGTTTTTACTATTTATACAGACTTTTCTGACTGCCTTTCTTTTGTAATTTATGGGAGGTTTATAAATGAATGACAGAGCTTTCCCCATTGTCTTCAGAGCTGTGTTGTCAACTGTAACATAATCTGTGTGGTAGATGTGTTAAAGGAAAGGACCTGTGTGGTTTAGGGCTGTGTGGGTGTGTGCATGTGGACGGTTAGTGTCAAATATTTTCTAGAAATAAAGTCTGTTATTTTATATGATGCTACCTCGTCTGTGTTGTTTTAAATAACCACAGCAGCACAACGAGCTCTCCAAGCTGGACCAGGCAAACTGTAACCTCACTTTCCTGGGAGCTCCTTTTTTTCCCTAAAGTAGTCTGGCCCATGTTTTGGGGGTCTCTCATAAAATGCCGTCACACTCACACTGGCGACAACCCAATATGGCAAAAGCAGGCTATTACCCCGAGTCAGCATTTCTCGTGCATGGGAAACACACATCCACCCAAAGCCTGACGGGCTCCAGCCGCCTCGGCAACACTTCCCCTCGGTGAATGGAGAGCTGCACCCACCGCACACAGCGGAACACACTTCTCACGCCGAGGCGTCCCCTGAAAACCTTAGTCACAGTAAAATCCTCCCAATAGTATTCATCCTGATAAGAGTAAAACCAACATGCTGTGGCAGGCTTCGTTCCCATCAGCGCACGCACCCGGGTGGTGGGTTTGATCCCGTTGGGGCTCGTGTAGGAGGCAACCGATCAATGCTCCTCTCACATCGCTGTTTCTTCCTCTAAAAAAAAATATATATATATCAGTAAAAGCATTCTCAGGCGAGGATCAAAACAAAGAAAACCAAGGCCTCAAATCAGCCTTTTCCCGTCACCTGACTAGTCGCCCACTGGTTCCAGTCCTGCGACCGTGTTGTCTCCGAGTGCTGCCTCTGACATTCTTCTGAAACTTCACCTGTTTTCTTTTGATGCTCAAATCACACAGGTTAGGGAACCTGGACTAAGAGCCAAGGATGCTGTTACGACACTTAGCTTGGAGAACTGAAAGGAAACGTAAAAGGTTTTCATTCCCACTGTTAAGGCTAAATCCAAAAGGTATTTACTGCACAAGACCATGTACAGCGATAGCAGCACAGCAACTGCACTGAACTGAATCCCCACCCAGTGGCTCCTGTACAACGTTTACATTCGTTCCACTGGTAGACGGCTACACGACTTCCAGCCACTCTCCACAGACTGTCCAGATGACGCCTACACACGGAGCCCCGCAGTCATCACAGCCGCACGCTTCACCCAGATGCAGACACCGGGCTGCCTGTGCTCGCAGCTCTGGACACTCCCTCACCACTGACGCTGTGGGAAGCAGCTCCGGGTGGAAGGCTCTGTGACCTGAGGTCATGGTGGCTCCCGGTCAGCCTTAGGAAGGGAATGTCCTCCTGACGGACGGCCCTCCAGCAGTGTGAAGATGTAGGGAGTGGAAAGGGGCAGATGCTTTCAGTGAACACAAACCACTGTGATCCAAGTAAGGTGACAATCATGTCAATTTTATTACGACAAACAGAATGATGTTCCAGTTGCAAACAAAATAAATAGCAACGTTAATATAGACTACCAGTCTATCCTGTTACGGAGTCTTAAAATGTTTCTTTGGACAAAAATTTAAAACTTTTCAACTATCTTTTTTAACCCCAATAGCACATAGCCCTCCCCCATAAAAAAGCCTGTTTCTCCAAAGTCTCCCCTTTCCCCTGCCTGGTGAAGGTTATTTGATGGCAGCTTTATCGTAAAGAAAGGAGAGACCCCGACAACCCCGAGAACGGGAGCCGGCTGCCCCCCCATGTGCTTCCTCCTCTGCACTCAACACTGCGGCTAATGAGGGTCACACGCACCACTTCCTCACTCAGGAAAGTGCTTCAGTTTAGGGGCTGTTTATAATACAAAGTATCTTAGCCACATTTTTCTCAAAACACAAGTCCTCAGTCTATTTGAGAGGCAAACAATTTAAAACATAAAATCTTAGCCCTGGCTGGTGTGGCTCAGTGGTTGGAGCGTCAGCCCATACACCGAAAGATGGCGGGTTCCATTCCTGGTCGGGGCACATACCTAGGTTGCGGGTTTGATCCCTGGTTGGGGCGCAAACAGGAGGCAACCCATCGATGCTTCTCTCTCTCTGTCTCTCCCTCTCTCTCCCTCTCTCTCCCTTTCCTCTCTGTCTCTCCCTGTCTCTCCCTTCCTTTCTCTAGAAAGAAAAAATCAATGAAAACATGTCCTTGGGTGAGGATTATAAGAAAACAACTTAATTTTTACCTATAAAATAAGTCGGTTAATAGCAGTGTTAGAATTAAGGCTCTAGACCTCCTAATTCCCTTCCCAAGTTTCATCTACAAAGAGAACAGTTAAAAAAACAAGCTTGGAAAACATCACAAGGTTGCCACTTGGAGGCCCCACGCCTGGCCCCGGCTAGAGGTAGTACAGGCGGTTGGACAGCGACAGGTTCGGCTCGCGGTGGATGCTCTGGCCCACAAGGAAAGCCAGCTTGTGCGCGTACTGGCAAGGAGCGGGGACGCGGATGACACCCTGTAGTGGAGGAAAACAGCTCCGTTACTCAGTCTCGTTCTCCCACTCGCTAGAAAAGCCCGAGGACACGGCCACTCTGTTCTGAGAGGTGCCTCCCGCCAGCGTCGCACAGACACTCACAGGCCAGTTGTAATAGACGTGGCACAGCTTGTACGTCAGCCTCTGGATGTGGTCCGGCTTCAGGCCGCTGTTGTCGTAGATGACATTGTAGTGGGTGGGAGACACGCTGCCGCTCCTCACCGCCTGGCTCACAATGAAGAAGTCATACCTGGAATCACACACACACAGGGACCACAGGATGCAAGGCTCCCTGCTGAAAGCTGGGGTCAGAGGATTGGAGCCTCCTGCAGCGAAAAGACCTCGGACTCTAATGTAACCTGGTCTCCCCAGGGCACACCTGCTCCCTCGAAATCCAGTCAGTCAGGACCCACTCTGGCCCGTCTCCGTGTGAGGAAGGTTCAGGTACTGTGTTGTTTGTATGGAGGTGCGGGTCATGGGAGCCCTGGGCCTGGCAAAAGTTTGCTGGGGGTGTACCACGGTCCACGCTGCCACGTCCACGCCAGCAGGTGGTGGGGCAGTGGGGACAGGGAGGCCCAGCTTTAGGCTCTGCCATCCCCAGGTGCCCTTTTACTACAGAACCTTCCCCTCTAGCTGTCCCCACTGTACTCAACAAAGACATGCCTAACTCGTGTCCCTCAGTAAGGACTTAGAGCAAACCTCTACGAGGGAGAGAGACCATGAAAGCACATACGAGGAACCAGTATGGGGACGAAGTGGTCACAAAAAAACCAAGCCATATAAATACAAAGAAACATAGAACATCAGTGTTTTCATTTTCTTGGTACCATTTTCATCAGTCCAGAGATACTTAATCTCGCAAGGAGCTAGGTGAGAACTTTGGTGTTTGTAAGAAACGCAGCCCAGGAACGGAAAAGCCAAGCGTTTCCCTGCTCACAGATGCAACAGGAAACAGTTTCACCTGAGCACAGGTGGGACTTACCACTCGGGGCGGGTGGACCCTGCTCACAGATGCAACAGGAAACAGTTTCACCTGAGCACAGGTGGGACTTACCACTCGGGGCGGGTGACCTCCACGTCGATGACAGTTCCGGGAAGAGGGTTCTGAAGTCTCCCTCCAGACTGAGCAAAAAACCTGGCGTTCACACGTTTCTTCACCACGACCACCGTCAGCCGGGGGCTGGAAGGTGACACGGATGCTACATTTAGTGTCGTCTTCCCAGGGCAATGCCGTCCCGGCCTTCGCACACGCCATGGAAAGGCACCCCCCACCCCTATCCAAGCCGTGAAGGGGGATCCCACACTGTCGGGGCCTCAGTGAGGATAGGAGGGAGCTGTGGGCAGAAGACAAACGGCCTGTGTGCTTGCCATGAGTCACGGGTCCCGCCCATGTGCAGTCACCAGACTGAGCCTGCGGCCCGCCTGTCACACCCACATGGCGAGTATGTCAAGTAAGACGTGAGCTCCAGAGCCTGGGACAGGCGAGCTGACTGGAGTGGCCTCCGAGTCTAACTTCCGCTTCATCACGGGTCAGAGCCCCGTTGCGGCAGGTGCTGGAGGCTCTGGCGGACATGGCGGGGCTGGAGCGAGCTCACCAGCCAGCCCCGAAGTGTAAGCATCCTCCCTCTCACACCCACAGCCCTGTTGGACATAAGCTCTTAGTGCAGCAGTCCCGAGCCGAGCCTGCCACCATCTGATAGGACAAGTTAAACCGTCACCCACCCCGCTGACTGGTTCCTGAGGAAACCCAGGGCCTCACTGTGTGGCAGGTTCGGTACTTACTGCCATGCCCTTGGGTCATGGGTGGGCCAGGGGGTGGTGGCAAGCCCTGCATGCCACGGCTCTAGGTGGGAAGGTGGCCAAGGACAACGGGTGCAGGACACCCTCCACAGGAAACTGTCGTCCCCCCCCCCCC